AACCATTGTTGAACTCCTACCATCTTATTTAGTGAAGCTCTGTATCATTTCTAATGTCTTTTTATTACTTTTTATTCCCTTTAATTGCTTGATCTATCTTACATTCTTACATCTGGTAATCTCAGCAACTTCACTAAAGAGAACAATATATAATATGACAGCCATTATTAATTCCTATTATTTTGTTTTGAAATCCTGTATCATTTTTATTGTTTCTGTGTTGTTTTGTTTTTGTCTGTGTTGCTGTTATTTTGTTATTGTTTTTGTCTCTTTAAAATAAAAATAAATATTGCATGGTATCATTTATATGAGAAACACAAATTATAAATAAAAAGCAAGGGGCTGGGAATTTAGCTCAGTGGCACAGCGCCTGCCTGGCAAGCACAAGGTCATGAGTTCAATTCCCGGTACCAGAAAAAAACCAAAAACCAAAACCAAAACAAAACAAAACAAAAAATAAATAAAAAGCAAAATAAAAGAGAGAAAATAGGAAGTGGGGAGACAGATCCTTCTCAAATAGGAAGGAGATTAAGAGAGATGGAAGGGGGACGGCGGGAAGCGAAAGAGGATGAAAAAGAATGAAGATGTGCTATGTATATACACCGGCTCCAAACAAAGATTGTAAACATTATGTACTACAAACAGGTACAGATGAACACATAAATAAATAAACAAATGGGACACAAATCACATACCCAAGCAGTGTCCTGGCGCTGCTTCACGGTCCCCTGGTGGGATTCACAGCAGAGCTAACTTCAAAAAAACCCAAAACCTCTCTACAAGCTTAAGCTTCTTGCCCTCTGTAATTCTTGATTTAGAAGTGAGGTAGGGCCTCAGGTTGAAACATGAGTATCCTACTTGGAATGGGGGGCATGGTCTCATTGTCCGGAGCCCACAGCGGAAGGTGAAACTAAAACTGCTCACCATAATACACTGTCCAATCATTCTTTCATCTATTGCTAAAATCATTCATCGAAAAGCCAAAAGTTTTTTTCTGCCGTATGAAAAAGAAACAAATGGGATACTTGTCAAATTGTCCACTCTACTCTCCGAACATAGATTCACATTCAACTTCCCATTCAAAAGTTGTGAACTTATCTTCCAAGCAGGGAGAAAGCTGCCTTCTTTGTCCACCCTCTAGCCCCTCTCTTAACCAGAGCTCCTCATAAGATGTTTTTGGTTGTTTCTCTCTCACTAAATTCAACAGAAAATAAAACAAGACCAGCATTGTTGAGTTTTCCAGAGAACATCAGTCATCTGACTCAGCCTGCCCAAAGGTCATGTACATCCTCAGGGCAATCCTTACCACACCCCTGGGGCAGAGGAAACTCAGAGACTTACTTTGGGGGAGTTCAAATTTGCTGGTTTTTTACCTTCTTGTCTTCTTTTTTTTGGGGGGGGGGCGGTTTCCTGGTACCGGGAATCGAACTCACAACCTTGTGCTTGCCAGGCAGGAGCTGCGCTGCTGAGCTAAATCCCCAGCCCCCTTGTCTTCTGATGACCACTTAATAGTTCTCTTTAAAAAAACAAAACAAACAAAACAACAACACTTCCTTTTCTACACTTGATCTTAGCCAAAAGGCCAAGAAGCAATAACCGTTTTTGCTATATCCTGCTTTAGTACTGTGGTGAAGCTTGATTAGACATTGCCGATATAAGTACATCCTCTACGGACACAGGCATTTATTCAGAGCCAGGTAGTAACAGCTTCCCAAAGTCCCATGATAAACAGAAACAACCCAAACACTGTAGTTCATTTGAAAGTAGCATACGTTTAGTACTTAGCTGCTTAAAACAGTTGTTTTCGAGAATTTCAGAAACTCCTCTACACGCAGGGACATTTGTCCTCTCTACTCCCACAGTTTAAGGTCAAGTTTGACGGAGAAGGTTCAAGGGAACCAGCCAAATTCCGAGTGGCAAACTCCTGAGCTGAATTTCATTAGAGGCCTTGAGTTTTCAATCTGAGCTTCTGTAGGCAATTTTTGTAATTATATTGGCACCCACATTTTTCCATTTCAATAATAAAACCACGAAGATCCTTAAGTTCACAGGTAAGTCTTTAATACTGTAAAAGAAAGTCAGTATGCCAATCGAAGATCAGAGATTCCAAACAGGGGCATGGCTCCCTGAGTCTTCAGAGTCGGCCAGCATGGTCCAGGCCGCTGCCGGCTCTCCTGTGCCAGCTCCCCTCCCCCACTCAGACACCCATTTTACTGACTATCAGAGATGCCTCTGCTCTGCTTTGAGATGCTGAACTCAAGTGAATATGACTGACTGCAGCCCTCTGCACACACCGGACAACCATTTTTAATCCAGACTGGCTAAGAATGCTGGCCTGTGGAGGTGGACTTAGCACTGCACCTCAGCTACCCTATCAGGGCTGGGAGCGGGGGGTGGGGTGTGTGTGTGTGTGTGTGTGTGTGTGTGTGGGTGTGTGTAGTGGGATAGGGGGGTGTCCACACCACTTCCTAGGAGTTTTTGTCCATGAAACTAATTCAGTATAAGTTTGTATAAGGAAAGTAGAATTAAAACAACTAAAATAATTTCTGTTCCTCTTGATTATAGCAAAACAGACTGAACACTAAGCATAGTTTATAAATTTTAAGTGTATGATCACAGACAGGCACCACAAGCCATGAATGCCAAAGAAACATAAATTAAATGTCAGCGTCAAATATACATCAAATGTAATGATGCATATTTAACGATATGCATAATCACAGTATTAGCCCAATTAAATGGGAGGAGGTGCTGGAAACCAATTTTACCAACTTCACAGATCAGCTGCCTCTGATAACCATCCAGCCTTAATCTTACTCCAGCTCCCCAAGAACAAAGAAATACTCCTCCACTCTGCCTGTCTTCCATCTACAGGTGGGATGTGGAATAAAGAACAGGCGGTGCTGTGGAATAAAGAAAGGCCTCTCTGCACAGTTCTTGCTCAGAGCTACCAGGAGGGACTCTTTTCACGGGAAAACCTCAGCACCTGGCACAGCATCAAGGACAATTTGTTAAAATCATGACCTCTGTGAAGAAGGAGTGTCTGCACTGTGAGACGAGGGAGATTTGGCACAGCCGTGGGAAAGAGTCTTGGAAACTTACCCCAAGTGTTTACTGGTTAAATGGTTTGCTTTTCCAAAATCTAAGGAAAGGGGAATTTTAAGGGTTTTTGAATTCCTACAGAAAAGGGGAACATGAATTAGAGCCCCTCCCACCCATACTTCTCCATTAGCAACTGTATCAAGGACAGGCTCTGCTCCCTCTCTTTCTTTCTGGAACCTTCATCTGCTCAGCACTAGATGAGCCAGCAGCAGGGATAAGATGTCCACAGAGGTCTGGCCTAGTGAGTCCAGCACTACCCAGGACTGTTTTCCTGACTTGTGTTTTGATTGGGGATGCGTGGGTATAAGAATGTGCATAGCCTGCTTAGGAACTTTGCTTAATGCTCGCTGCACCCAAGAGGAATTTTAGGATGCATTCCAAAATGGGAATACACAAAACTTTCCACTCAACTGTAATCATTCAAGAATTTGAGAAGAAAATTTCCATCCTGTCCATGTTACAAGTGACCCGCGCAGGTTCTTTCTTAAAAGTAAACACAGGTGACACTTATACTCATTTTTATTGATAATCTGGTCCTGTTCAAATGACAGTCCAAAAAAGATGAATATGGAATATTTTATCATTTCCACAAATAATCATCTCTCTGTAAATCACACGGCACGTTGATCTAATCAAGAGACTAAACCAGATACAACCTGGGAGGAAGCCTTCTGTGGACAGATAAACGTTTTGTCAGATAAAAGAAAGAAGGGCCCTAAAATGGCTTTTCCGAAAAATGAAAACAGTGTGTATAACATAAAGTATTACATAGAGAGGAGGTGGTAGGAAATAATCAGTCTCAGAATTGGTATACTACTAATGAGTTAAAGATAACTCAGTAGAGTTCTACAAAACAGCACATATTATTAAGCATAAAATAGCAAATAACTTTGTAAGAAAAGTTCATATATCCAATTATAGCATATGGTTTTCATAGAGGAAACCAATTAAAGACAGCTGCACTGTAAGTTGATTCTGGAAGGCAGACTCCCAATGGGTAATTACAGTAGCAAGCTTTCACTCTGCCACTGATGACTGGTAACACACACGCACACACACACATTCTGGGAGATGCTCTGCTTATAGGCGGCCTAGATATACAGCTGTATTTGCTAATAAGTCCATATTAACTTCTCCGGCAAAGCCAGTGTCAGGAGGCAGGCGGGATATTGCTTTGTATTATGGCCAGTTCCTACCAGGTGTTCGCTCTGCATTTAAAAAGCCTTGGCTGGTGGTGCCGGCATCACGGTGTACAGAACACCGTTCGTGAAATCTTGATTCTTGGTTCTGCTGCTTCCACCGCCCAGACCTATGACTTCAGGCAAACCAGTTAACGCTCTGTGACTTGGTTTGCTTTTCTACAAATCAAGGTCAATGTCACAGGAGGTCATGGTGTCACTGACTTTATCTTTCCACTTCTCGTGGAGCTAAGTGCTTTTAAAAATACGTCCACACATTCCTTCACACTCCTTGCTCTGCTTTGCCTCTCTGTATGTTATGACCGACTCAAGGAGCCCATGATGCAGATGACCTTGTGTGACCTTCAAGGGCAGATCACAGAGGCAGCCCCCTCCCCTTCTCTCCCCGCAGCAGATGCCTTGGACCTGAGCTTATTGATACCTCCTAATTATCTTTAAGATATAGACTATGTCTACGCACACAGATCTAATATTCCCACCCAGGATTAATACTGAAGAGAGTCAATCCTCCATCAGCTGTGAGGGTCGGAAAGACATAAATGAAACAAAGAGGGTTACCATAAAATATAACAAGTTTTTCACTCCCCAGAGGATATCCCTGAGGCGGTTTCTAGTGGTGACTTAATTAGGCAGTGAAGGCTTTTGCTGAAAGTTTGAGATCAGCACTGTGTTAGCAAAACAAAAGAGCAATCAACTTACCAACTCCAGACACTGCCGGTGGCCATAGGCAGCAGCATAATGTATGCTATTGTAGCCCTCCTTGTCCCGGATAGACGGGTTCGCGTCATTTTGAAGCAGAAATTCTAGACATCTGTAAGTGTGAAGATGAGCTGTTATTTTAGAAAACATCTCTGGATGAAATGGGATGATTAATGTAAATATACCATCTTATGAATGCTCCACAAAATACTTCAAGTTTGTTTCTTTAAAGATCCTGCTGCAATGAAGTTTTATGCGATAGAAGGTGTGCACGTATGTGGCGCGTGTGTACATGTGCGCATTTTGTAGCTGTCTTTATTTCAGTTTAGAATAGCCATTCTAGATTCAGAAAGAATTTTGAGAGCAAAGGGGTAATTAAGGTTTTTTTTTCTTCTCATCTTAAGGTACAGAACATGTCTATTATCAAGATTACTGAATAATAACATTTAAATCTCATGTTCAAAAGGTGAAACCTCACTGGGTGTGTTGGCACACACTTGTAATTCCAGTACTCAGGAGGCTGAGGCAGGAGGATCAGTGCAAATTCGAGGCTAGCCTGGGCTATATAGTGAGCTCAAGTCTGGCCTGAACTGCATGGCAAGACTCTAGTGTGTACAAGGCCCTGGGTTTGTTCCCCAGTAAAAGAAAATAAAATGTGTTCAGTCTATGGCAAGTGGGCAAACCCAACAGAAAGAATATTTTAAGCATTGCTATTATAGACTGAGATCCAAAAGTTAGAAAATGAAAATTTTAAATACAGTAAGCAAAAGCAAGAGAGCTTAAGGATGGTCAGATAATAAAAGGCCGCGGATAAATGCTTAGAAATATTAAAGGAGCAATTCAGAAATTACCCATGAAGAAACTTACACTACATCACTGGGAGGACAGCCTAGAACAAAATACCAAATTTTAACACCCCTTTTCTGGCAGAGTGGTAATTTTCCTGAAAGAGCCTCCAGCTTGGGAATGGGCAGAGGCAGGAGCTGGCCCACTTGCTGAAGAGCCATGGGGGCCGCGCAGAGCGTGGGGCGGGAGGAGGACAAGGCGAGGGTGCAGCCCAGGGCCCATCCGGCTGCCCTGACCAGGACAGCTGGCCAGAGCAGGACTCCCAACTCTAGGCTGATTTCGGTGACAGAGAGACAAACGTCCTCTGCACAAAGCCATGCTGATTCAATTTCAGATTCAAACTGAGACCTACGATTCTGCACGTAACTTTACGTGTCAAATAAGACCCTTCCTTGCATAGTCTCTACAGCTCAGTCAAAAAGGCCTCAGTGGCATTTACCTACCTTTTTGTATAAGGCTACGAGAATAAATAAAGTTCTAAACTGGTCCGTTAATTTCTAGAAAACTGATGAGAGACATTTTTTAAATTAAATACCCACTCATGTATTTGCCAACAAATGCTCCATAATAAATCAAGCTTTTATTAGAGTCCTGCTATCACGCCGTTTTGGCATTGTCCCTTATAAGGAAGTCCTTTTTCATTTCAGGAAGTAAATGTCTCTGGACGGAATCCCAGGTGTGATGCATCATACCGTGAATTTGGCTCTTTAAGTGAAATGGTTCCACAGGAATAGCACTCTAGTGAACACGCTCACCCAACCTCTGAATGGATCTGAAAACCAGCTGGTGAATTCAATTCGTGCTCTGGAAAATATCTGGACTTGCTCTCACAGATTACTGAACCCAGAATGCTGCTGAACTATACAACTAACAACTGTACAATATAATTACAGTAGCAATATTCTCCGCATAGTTTCTAAGGAAAGAAACTGGAAGTCCGGTCTGTCCTCCGCCAGGTGCTGACTAGTACGTTTGCCATGGAAGGCGGGAGGAAGAAGCCTGTCAGACCGGGAGGGTCGGACAGAAGCCCATCGGCTGGGGGAGCTGGACAAGGGCAGCAGCCCCTTTTGGCCTAGAAGAGCTTGAAGCACTCCCTCTCCCCTTTGCTCCCTCCCTCTACCACTGTGAGGCCACAGGGTTGCCCGGGGCAAAGTCACCCCACAGTTCCCTGGCAGAGGTGGAAGCTGCTTTTTCAGTAATGTGATTATTTTGAATTTTGGAACACTCGCACAAAACCTCAGCCTGCTGTGCTCATAGCTGTGTCTCGTGTCCCTGTCACCTGCAGCAGGACTGCATACTCTAACCGTCCTTCTCGCATGGAGGGCGCAAGGGGCCGGGAGACAGGGCAGACCTGAAGGTGGGCACAGGCTCCAGGTCACAGGGAAGAAGTTCCTCTGGCACCCACAAACCACAGGCCTGGGTGAGGCCCACTTGAGGGCCCAGAGGGAGGCAGGGACAGGGCCGGGGGCTGTCTGCAGGGCGCAGGAGGCCTTGTGTAAACTGACGAGCCCAAGAGAGGGAGGAGGTGGGGGAAGCACAACTGTGCTTGTCGAACTGAAGCCACAGACCTTCATTTACAGACTCTGCAAAAAGGTACCCGAGGTCGCAGAAGCAGAGGCCAAGGCCCCGAGAGGGGGCTGAATTCATCCCCCAAGGAGCAGGGTCCGTGGCAGAGTCAGAAACGCTATCTAAGACTGAAAACTGCTGACCAGTAACCATTATCACCCATGCAGATGGATGTAATTTTAGGAAAAGCTCCCTGTGTGACAACCGCATCACTGAAGGAGGGATGGGAAAAGCAGCTTCTCCGTAACGGTGAGCCCACATCATCTGCTCAGGATCCCTTCCCCAGGGTAGTAGGGCAGCCCGCGCGGCAGCCCAGAGAGATGGCGCCTTGTTCTTACTGTCAGAGGAAACTTACAGAGCAGCTTCCTTTTCCTTCAGCTCCCGGGCTCTTTCAAGCTCTTCTGAATTTTCATGGGCATTTCCCAACATCGTCTTACTTCTCAGCATGAAGGGAGAAGCAAAAACAATATATCACAATTAATTTTCTTTTTTTGGTACTGGGAATCGAACTCAGGACCTTGCGCTTGCCAGGCAGGCACTTGTGCCGCTGAGCTACATCCCCGGCCCAATCACAATTAATTTTTAAAGTGCAAAGTCATTCATGGTCTTAACACAGTTGTATCTCAGTGTTTACCCTAAAGAACGAGCACCACTGATTTTCAAGGATGGACACCGCTCTCCCCGAAGGCATCTAGTAAACCTGTTCTCACCCAAGGACTCCAGCTGAGAAGAGGGCTTCCCTAGGACTTCCACCTGATGTCTGTGACCAAAAGACCCCCGAGTCCCCCACGCTTCCATGAGCACCCCAGAACTCCCTAAGGAAAAGGAAGTGCCTTGGCTCAAACTTCCCTGAGTCCCACTGCACCCCCTGCTGCGCCCTTGAAGTTCAGTGTCTCACTCGTTGGGAGTGGGGTCCCCTCGCCCTTCACCTTCCAGAACAACTCACCACCCAGGATTCCTTTCCTGCCCTCCTTTCCTGCTCCCACGGATGGAGGACACCCGCTTTCCCATCTCCTCCACCACCACCTTTTCCAAGAGATTAACATAGAGCTGGTATATATAGCAAGTGCTCAGTCAGTGCTGGTTGAATTAATATCCTGAACTAATTCCCATTGAATTAATGGGCTGAATTAACAACCCATTATGGAATAATGAAGTCGATTTAATGGGTTGTAGTCTATGATTTTTTTAATGAAATGGAATTGAAAATATCAGAACACACTAGGCATAGCAAATGCAAATATGGTTTTATGAAATTCTTATTCCTGCCTTGCACACATACATATGTGAATGTGCGTGCTGGGTCAGGGTGCAAGATGAATTTCTTACTGTGGATCACCATCTAAAATACCTGAAGGGCTGGGGGTAGGGGTCACACTTAGCATCAAAAATAAGTAACATTTAAAAATGTTTGGAAATCATTGCTCTACGTGCACAGGAAAGCAGACAATTCAGTAGTTCTCCAAACAGGGTCACCAGAAAGTACTTCCTACAAAGGAGGCCCCGCCTGAGGTCTTTGAGAACAGCCTCAGGAACCGTGGGGTCCTCCTCCTCCTTCCCCTGCAACGGGTTCAATGATTTCTGTTTCCATTCCTCGCCACCTGGAATCAAAACACCAGGGCAACCCATTTCCTCCCTCCAGCCACTGAAAGTTTGGAACAAACCCTATCTCCACCATCCTGAGGCTGTGGGATTATGTACAGGTGGATATTTTTGATGTAGGATATACATATTAGCAAATGTGAGTTTTATGGTAAATGAAGCATTTAAGCGGTGGTGATGAAAACTCTGGTGTGCCAGGCATGGTGGTGCACGCCTGTAATCCCAGCACTCGGGGGGCTGAGGCAAGAGGATGGCTGCGAGTTCAAGGCCAGCCCGTACCACATAGTGAGACCCTCTAAGAAAACTCTGGTGTACCTCTACTAAATCCCAAAAGATTTTGAATGAACTGAAAACCTGGCCTTGATAGCTCCATCTGGTATTTGACAGAAGAACACAGAAGGGAAAAAGCTGTGTAGAGCCAAGTAAAAATCAAACCTGAATCTAACCCTTGGGCTCTGAAGGAGAGAGACCTTCACCTGCAGTTTCCAGGAGGAGGTATGAAGAAAACTCAGCAGTGCCCCCTTCCCAGCCCGCCCTCCCCGCAGAGCAAGTATGGCTGATCGAGGCCATCCTTACTTTCTATCCACGTCCGAGGCCGCAGCATAGTGCAGAGCTGTTCGGCCCCAGTCATCCGTTTCGTTGACGTTGGCCCCTGTGGTCACTAATGTCTCAATACAGTGGAAATGACAGTTCGCAGCTGCATAGTGCAGAGGGGTTCTGGAAAACAAACAGGAATTCATTACTCACTCAGCCTAGAAAACAGAGCATTGTGGACGCACACACGGACAGCAGGGTTCCGCTAGAATGGAAAGCTCACTGGCTCTCTGCTTGTGGAGGCCAAGGGATGTGCCTGCCTTTGACTCCATCAGTCGAAACTGAGAACACAAAGACTGGGGACTTCAGACAGGACAGGCATGCGTTCTTTCTACTCCGCGTGCTTGTCCTGGTTCCAGTCTATGTTACTGCTTTATAGGACCACAGAAAGATCATCCCCATGAAGATCCACCAAGACCATCCTTGGCCCTATATCAAGCTTCCATCCAATTTTCAGTTGGTACAAATGAAGAATGGAGTTGTCTAAGATACAATCCCCACATAGCACAGTCCTGTTCGAAAGCTTTCAGTCCCCGTCGACAAAGGCTCAGTTCTTCAGCCAGGAGTTGAAGACCTTCCCAAGCTGGCTCCAGTTCCTCTCAGAGCATCCCTCCACCCTCCATGAACTCCTTAGTGTACCCCGAACCAATGTCCTGAGGCTTTCTGGTCACGGCCACACTTCCTGCACCTGTGCTCATACTCTACCTTCCATTCATTAAACCCCACTCAGAAGCAGGTGTGGTGGTACGCGCCTGTAATCCCAGCACTCTGAGAGGCTGAAGCAGGAGGATTGAAGTTCAAGCCCAATCTGGACAATTTAGTGACTAAGTGAGAGTCTGTCTCAAAATAAAACTAAAAAAGGGCTGGGGATGAATGTAGCTCAATGAAAGGTGCTGGCTTTAATCCCCAGAACCACCAGACAACAACAACAAGAAATGCTACTCGGGGCTGGGGATTTAGCTCAGGGGCTGGGGATTTAGCTTAGCGGCAAAGCGCCTGCCTGGCAAGCGCAAGGTCGTGAGTTCAGTTCCCGGTACCGGAGGAAAACCAAAAAAAAAAAAGAAATGCTACTCATCCTTCAAGATCCAGAAGTTAGTTGTCTGTGTCTGAGATCACTCAGCTACTGTCTGATCACTCCTGAGCACTCTCTGTATGGCCTCGATTTATGTTATCAGTGTATTATCTGCTCCTCTCCACTGAACTACAGCTCCCTGAGGGCAGGCATGCAGGTTGATGGGAAGAACAAGGCACAGAAGCAGAAGCCCTGGGCTCCATTCCAGGCAGATCTGAAAGTTGGGCCAAGCCACACCTCCCTCCGGGCCTGAGCCTTCTCATCCCTATCTTAATACGGACTTGTGAACAGCTGTTCTCTACAGACTTTCCAGTCTCAATTCTGTGAACCTGTACAAGTCATGACATGGCTTTGGGCTCAGGGTGCTCATCGGTTACAGAAGGTAACAGACCCCCATACGCCCCGGCAGATCCATGAGAAGCACCTGACAGGGCAAGGCTGCAGAAATAGGAAGTGATTTATTCTTTTTTCCTTTTTTTTTTTTTTGTTTTGGTGTTTTTCTGGTACCAGGAATCGAACTCACAACCTCGCGCTTGCCAGGCAGACGCTGTGCTGCTGAGCTAAATCCCCAGTCCCGGAAGTGATTTATTCTATCTTACTTATTTTTAGTTCTCATTTATTTAATCCTTCTTTCTAGTGTGACTAACCAGCTTCCAGACAATAATAAGCAGAATACTAGAAAGTAACTGAAGTTCAAGAATTATTTAACAATTTTCAAGTACAACTGTTTGATATTTTGTAGTCCATTTACGAGCTTGTTTACTACTTGGTTTTCTACCTTTCAGTCCCAAAGAAGGACACTCTAAGTATTTCATACCCTGGACTGCCTATGTTTTGATGTTGGACTGAAAATCATTAGGCGTCAGGCATACGCTAGCCTAAAGATAGAGAAAAGAACACCAATGCTTGTCCTCAGGAGACTCAGCAACAGGGCCGACGAGCACAGTGTGATGTGAGCTCCAGGGGAGGAGGTGCGGATGCCAGGAGAGAAGGGACGCCCCTGCCACAGTGGTAGGGACTGTCACTGACATGAATCTGGAGGGGCGAGTAGGAGCCATCTGGGTAGGTAGGAGAGGAAGAGGTCTGAAGCAACCCCAAGAGTAAGTGCCCGCGGAGGCGGGGGTGGGAAATGCTAGGGGAAAGAGTCATGTGGTGCTTAGAGGCAACTTCTGAGAAACATGTTAGGCGACTTTGTCACTACATGAACACAAACCTAGATAGCACAGCCTGGGCTGCACAGGGCACCGTTATATACACGGTCAGTGTTGACTGAAATGTCACTGTATGTGTGCATGTGTGAAAAAAATACATGTTCGTGTACTAGCGAGCATCATGGCACGGTTTAGCTATACAGAGGACCATAAAGGTATAAAGTTACATGGCCCATCTGCGGGTTGTGTTTAATGTTGGAAATATGTCTAAAAATTTATCCCAAGATAAAATGTCTGACACAGCTCATGACCGCACGGAGCGGAAGGGCTAAAGCATTCTGTTCTGCTACAAACGAATCTCCTAAGTCAGATCCTTGAGAATAAAAAAAAAAATGAAAGAAGGGAGACAAGTAGCTCCTCTAAGCAGAAGCTAAGAGAGGAAATACTTTCCCTAGGGCCGTGTCTACTGCATGGCGTTTTCCTATAGGAGAGGGTTCCCACCAGGGTGGGACCCCCAGACCACTTCAGCGTCACCCCTTCTCAGTGCACCCCTCCCCCACTCCTTTTATTGAGGCTCATGAGCCACAGGGTGCTGGTTACGTACCTCCCACACTTGTCCTTTTTATGGAAATCTGCTCCACTGCTCTGCAAGAGTTTTATACATTCCACATTACTAGAAAGACAGAGAAAACATCATGGAGATGACAATAAAGGACAGCTACTGGGGTATCTTAACAAAGGTCTGTTTTCTGACAGCACAGGCTAGGATGAACTGAGAGCTCCAGGTTTAACGTTCTGCTAATGCGAAACAACCTGGACATAGAGTAAGTAATGCCATATGTAAGAATCTAAAGCTCCTGCCTCAAAGCGAGTAAGTCCATAGAGCAAAGAGCTTGGTGGAACATCTCCAATGCTAGGAATAAGGAATTTAATGATTATTACATGATTAGACCCTCCAAGGATGGTCTCATCATTTTTTCTAAAATTAATGTTTCAAAACCACACAAAATTTATGAAACAATCCTTCAACCTATAATAACTCACTTCATGTTGGATTTAAACAATAAGACGGAGAACATGCATATTTCCTTTTATCACAGTAGAAGAAATTCCCCATGATCATCATTTTCAACTCAAAATTCCTTGGTGGAAAATAAAACAGCGCATTTCCCTGCTTTTGTAATCCAGGTAGATAAATGTGCAGAACCAAGGCTGAAAATGACATCATGGAGAACTGTGATCTTCCAAAGCGCCTGTGTCTTTCACGGAAGCCACAAATCACGTGTAGGAGAGAGAGAAGGACCCACTGACATGCATGTTCCCCTTGAAGGGCATGTAGCTCAGTATTAATTCTAATAGGAATTTCAGATGTGAATTCCGAACAGCAAGTTGCCGCTTGCTGGACAGGTCTGATGTTTTTTAAAATGCAGACATACAGGCAATCATCCATCATTGTTCTGAACTTGGGATGCTAAGTAGCCTGGGATGTATTGTTTTATTATAATTTAAATGAGAAAAAATGATCTCATTACTGATAAGCCTGAAAGGATTCTCCCACTCCACATCTACCCTTGACAGCCACCTTTCTCAGAAAACTAGCTACTCAGTCAGAAACCGGGAGTACTTTTTAAGAAGTATGTGTCCGTGCAGAAGCCAGCTGGCATGAAGCACCTGTCTCTTACTGCTGATGGCCAGGGATCAAAGGCAGGGGGACAGATGAGTGGTATGGCTTGTGAAGCACGTTTATTTTGGGGTCTGGGGTTGGGTGTGGCTCTTTTAAAAACGCAGCATTACAAATATAAGACCGGGTGTAAGGCTTTAGGATGGACCCATGGAGACAGCCCTCAGCTTCAGAGTTAATTCCTCTCTGCTAAATGGGTAACACCCTTGGCAATGTACAGATGACAGTCAGAAGCACTGCTATCTCTTAAGGACAAGGAAATTAAGAGCCAACCTCCTACCCACACAAGCTCATCCAGGAGATGCGAGGTTTGGTCAGTACATGGTAATACAGCAACAATTTATTGATCAGAGCTTTAACCTGACCAGTGATAGGAAAAAGACAGTAACTGATGAAAAATAACAAAAAGCCCTATTTGCTGTGAGAGATGGGATAACACTGTTTTTCCTTCGGAAGAACAAAAGCAAGTCATCTGGTAATATTGGTTAGAAATGATTCTTGCCCAGTTTACTAAGAAAACTGCCTTAGGGGCTGGGGATTTAGCTCAGCGGTACAGCGCCTGCCTGGCAAGCACAACATCTTGAGTTCGATTCCCCATACCAGAAAAAAAAAAAGTAAAAGAAAACTGCCTTTGGCTCACAGACAACTCCAGTCAATCAAGATGTACTGTGTCACTAAGGCATGAACTCCCAAGATGGCTCGGTACTCACCCTCCTGCGGCAGCAGCATGCAAGCACGTTCTTCCAAATTTATCTGGGGTGTCTATGTCAAAGCCTGCAGACAGCACGTGCTCATTACTAAACAAGGACACTATGCTATACTTTTGTCCTAGTTAAACCACAAGAAACATTGCAGAGACAGAAAAATCAGTTAGTAGGAAAACCAGGAGGCAAGCAATTGTAGTCAGAAAGAGGTTGTCATGGAAACGAATGGTAACTGCTCAAGCTTGGCGATTTCACAGGCAGCACCGCAAAGTCAAGAGGGATTTATTTTCACACTCAGCCCTGGGTGAACCACAGCCCCATTTTTCAATCCCAGGATACAAATTTATGAGGCCAATTTGAGATAAGTAGGCAAACAGAACACACGGAGAAAAACACGGACGCCCGAGGAAAAATCCTAGCATGCAGGGAGTAGATATTTTCTTAAACGCATTCCAACCTTTCTGTTGATCTAAAATCTGGGAAACAGGTTTTCATGCAGGGATTATTTCTAAACGTGCCAAAAATAGTGAAAGCAGGTAAAGTATTTAAAGGGGAAAATCTGCCTCTGGGATACCGACGAATTAATTTGGGGACAATCTTTGCCTTGCAGACCCTGCCACTTCTGAAAGCTGAGTTTCTTACTATAAGGAGGCTCGTAGAAGCAGTGATGAGAAAGACAAGGAAGGCTCCAAACCAGAAAGAATCTATTGGTTTCAAAGAACCTCACATTAAAAAAACATTAAATTTAGTTGGGAGGGATCAGTCTTCCTGATTTTTCAGTGTGCAGGAAATAGGGAGATAACCTGGTATTTTCTAAAATGTACAGGATTTGGGCTTTTTCCTTTTTGAATAATATGAAACTTTAAGCCACTGCTTTAGGCCTCAAAGATGTTTTCTTGTTCATGACTTAAACTTCCTATGCTGCGTCTCTTTCATCCCAGCTTCCCCATACGTGCACTGGAAATCAGATGTGCCTGTCATTCTGGGGCAGGGGTACTGACACTGTCACAGTTTCAATCCCGAGGACCCATGGGAGCTGCTGCATGCAGTTAGCTACGGGGCCACCTGGTCCTCCCAAGTCAGGTGATGAGAAGAAGCACAGGCAGCCACACGCTGGACCAGACAGCTGAAGCCACATGACTCGGGTACAGGACACATTTCTTGCCATCTCTGGCAAGAAATTCACTTACCTGATGATAAGAGCTTTCTGCAGCAGTCAGAGTGGGCATTTAGGGCAGCTAAATGTAAAGGGAACATGCTATGGATTCCACACCTGAGGAGGAAAGAACAGCAGCTCAAGGTGACCAGCACATGCACAGGATATCGCCCTCCTCTGCAGTCCTGGGGTGAAAGTCTGCACCTCACACAGGAGCCCTCAGCGAGATAATCTTGTCATCTTTCCATTCCATAAATACGATGCAATTGCTTTCAACCTTCAAATAATAAAACCCTAGATCTAAACCACAATTAAAAGCCTACACCCATAGGAATATATTTTAAAGAGAATTTGTTTCAGATAAACAAAGACTTCTTAAGATTAATTTTCCCCCATTTCCTTTTAGCCTGGTGATTCTATATCTCATTTGTTCATTCACCCACTGATCTACGCCTCATTTTCTAAGCATCCAGTACTGTGCTGAGGGCCAGAAGTGACTGACTGCGCCGAGCAAGACAAACTCAGTAACCTGCTTTACTCCTCAAAGCAAACAGCTATTACTGGCCTCATATGTGCTAAGCACTATTACAAGCTAGCTATAATAATATTACTGAAAAGAAAATGGAGCCAGGGATATAGCTCAGCAGCACAAGTGCCTGCCTGGCAAGTGCAAAGTCCTGAGTTCAGTTCTCAGCACCAAAAACAAAAACAAAAAACCAAATGTATTACATGAAAATAAAAATATAGATGAAGGGGCTGGGGATTTAGCTCAGCGGCACAGTGCCTGCCTGGCAAGTGCAAGGTTGTAAGTTCGATTCCTGGTACCGGGAAAAAATATATATATAGATGAGAATAAAAACTAGTGTTTACCTTTGGCAAGTGAAATTTTCTCTTTCTAGCAAACTTTTACATTGCATATTAGCCTGGTCGCAAGAACACAGGACTAATAAGCATTACTTTGTATATATTCCGTAAATGCATCACATTTTCCAGAGCAGCATCACAGAAAGAATCTAGATGAGGCCTTGTTAGACTGACCCTCACCACAGCACATCCCCCGGACCATCCCTTAGGACCATCCCATCTCCTCTTCCCCAGGGAGAGGGAATCAGTAAGACTGATCCCTCTCTTCCTCTTCCCAACAGCTCCTGGAGCAAGGACCCTAACATCTCACTTTAATCAAATAGCATATTTCAGATTTGAAAACCCTCTGTGTCACAAATGGGGGGCTGTATCTGTTTATACCCACAGCACTCATTACCCATGTTTCTTCTGTGGCACAAGGCTGTTCTCAGGTTTCATGCTTCATAAAGAAACACACATAATTTGAATTTGTTTCACATTGGTTACGTGGATTTTATTTGCCATCTCCAAAGTTATAATGTACGTGTGTGTGAATGCCTGGAAATATACATATACATGCTCATATTTCACGGTATCCAGGGTTCCACAGAATCCAGGTCTGTCAGCAATTTTTTCCTTGATAAGTTCTGTTTACTATGTCTCTGTTCCACTTTCCCTATGACTTCTCTCCCTACATGGAGACTTCCGGTCTAGTGTATATAATAGCTGCATCCATCAAGAGATGCAATTTGCCAGTCTTCCAGAACTGCTTATAATTGCCTCTCTCCTCATTTACAACAAAAACTCTGACAGGCATTGCATCAGTGATGACCTTGAAGCTCATGGAAAGGACAGGATGTGGGGGAGGGGAGGGAAGCCTTTTCTAGGTATGCTATTATTTATATTATTCCCTCTTAACTCAATAGAAACATACTGTTTTAAAAAATATCTAACATGTTTTAAAAGCTCCTTACTAAATGGAACTTTTAGCTAGTATGATTTTATTCAGCCATTTTATTTGTTTTGGAGAGTTAAGGCAAAAGTGTATGATTATCTCTGGAATTTTGGAAGAAGAAAATGAATAGGATACTTTCTAGGATACTTTTAAATTCCTTAAAAAAATGACTAAAATCAAAGGCTAGATTTCTTAAGATTTCTTTGAACCTTCCACATTCTTTAAATACACACACATATGCATGTGCATACATACCTATATGCATATATACACATTATACATATAGTACATAAAATATGTATCTTTATACAAAATAATACAAGCAAACAAATTAGAGAAAATATCATCAAACTCTATAATGAATCTGGAAAAACAAAAGCATAAACAATAGTATAACACCATCAAAACCATAATATATTCCATAAACTTCATCACCAATACTTCTTTTTTTTGGTACCAGCGATCAAACTCATGACATCATGTTCGCCAGGCAGGAGCTGTGCTGCTGAGCTCTATCCCCAGCCCGCCAGTACTTTTAATCAACCTACCTTAGCTAATTATTTCCTAGAGTTAAAACTACTCTGATTTAAAATGGCTAGCAAAAATTCCACTTGATATATTTTTTTATTCCACACTTAATAAAAAGTTGCCACTTCAGTGTAGGTTTTAGAAATATACTAGTGTAGACTCAAGTGTTATTGGTATTTGAGCTAGACTATGATGCCATGGTTGAAACAATAAAACTAACTATTAAGATAGGAAAGAAAAAGCAGAATTCAGATTCTCTGATCATGTCAGAAATGATTCACACATTTCAAAATAAACTACTTCTTTATTGGAACGGCTAGATAACCTTTACTTACCAAGACTTGGAAATTCAAGACTTGGCTTTCTTAGTCAAACGAGCTTTCCTCTTACCTCATCAGGTGTACATCAAGGAACATCAAGAGTAAAGATGCCAAACAACCCTCAAGTTAACAGTGCATAAATGACAGGAAAGAGGAGACCAATTCCCGTTACATGGGTATATTTATTTGACAAGTCATAAAATTAATGGAAACCATTTGTATTTGGCCATTTTTCTAATTTAGCTGTTGTTTCAGGATAAATGAAGTCTGAAAGACTGTCCTTGTTGAGACTACTAGAGTCAGGGAAAGGGCTACGTGTTCCTCCCGGCATCAGGAGAAAGGTCAGTCCCTTCCTACATCCAGTCTTTTCTAGAGCCTTCCCTTTAGGCCATGTGGTAAAGAACACTGTAATTATGCTGCTGAGGTCAAAATCTGGGTTTAAGCCCTAGGTTTTGCTACTTGCTATTTGGTCTTTTACAAGTGAATAATGGTTCCCTCCTCAGGAAAATAAAGATAATTACAGTGTCCATATCACAGTGATCATAAAGCCTCACTGGTCTAACAAGTACAAAGTGCTAACTAGAGCGCCTGACCCATGGAAAACCTTTACCAACAATGTTCCTATGATCATTACTATTAGCTTAATCGCTACTCAGCAGCCTGTGTGTTTTGAAGTTGTAATCAGCTTATTCTTCCTTAAAATCAGGTATGTGCCTCCTTAGAAGCCACGAGTGGATTGTGATTCACTAACATTTCTGTTACTTTCCTTGTTTCTAAACCTTTTCCAATACTTATCTTGAAACTCTCCCAGGGAACTGGGATTGTCTTAGTTTTGTCCACTAGGTAGGCAGGACAAGAGCATTTCCTAAGTACAAACTAGGATGAGTCTATGATTCTTACCTAAATTGTTAGCCCACATCAAAATATCAAACCCCTCATGAGTTTCATCTATGTCATGCCACACATTTGTTCTGCACCCTGTTTCAAGCGTGCAAGCGTGGCTGACATCGGTGACACCTGGTCCTTTCTATCTGCAGCAGGCATTTTCAGTAGATCCTGCGGAGTAAGTCCAAACTCAACACGGCGAGACAGCTCCTTCTGATCTGGCCACTGCCTGAGCGATGGGTCACGTAGGATCTCAGTGATTTTCTTTCCAGTCCCCTTGAGAGCCACGCTCTGTCCTGCCCCTGGCTTCTGAACATGCTGGTCCCTCTGCCTGAAATGCTCTGCCTCTCACCATGTTTCTCAAAGAAGTGCAAATCCGGGCTCAGTAGAAACAGCTGTGGACTCTTGAGAGTTCTCTGTGAGAATTTTTCAGTCACCCTTTTATGGTAGTCTCCAACAGCTGCCATAAGAACAGAGCTGGGCTCAGCTGAACGACCCCATCATCACCACATACCTCCGCCAGGTCTCAGCGCCTGGGTCTGTATTTGCGATTCCACTGTGCCGACGAGTAAGGGGAGTCTTATTAGGTCTTCAGTTCCTCTCTGCTTCACTTCCTGTTTCCCCTAAACATCCCCCAACACACAAACACACAGGCACAAGTGCACACTCACACACACACACTCACAATTACTGCCTTGTCTCGGCTATGCTGTGACAGAAGAAAGCAGATGCGGCTCATCAAGCCTGGGGCAGGGTTCCTTATCTGTGTTCCACACAGCCAAAGGAAGGAAACGCTATTTGAACAACTGCACCATTTCCACAGCACTGTTACTACAGGGTGGGTTTGCGTGAAAAGCAAAGTAGTTACACGGAAACTTTGTGTTTATTGAATTAAATGGGGTTTTCAGAAAATTTTAAGAGTGTAGTGGGCCATTTATTTTTTAATCCCTAAAATGAGTTTAAGTCTGCGGGGAAAAAAAATCAGAAATTTTTCATGGCTGTTTACCCAAAACTTCCCCAATTAAGTCAAGGTTGAAAAATATACCACTGAAGATACTACCTATGGCAGGGAGAGTTGGTTGGCTGTGCCTAGTCTGCCGGCAGGTCCTCCGGGTAGAACCCAGAAGGGCAGCCCCTTTTCACTTACTAAGAAGAGCTCGGCTCCAGCTGGGTTCCTCCCTCTTCTGAAAGGGACCCCGCTGCTGTTCAGCATCCTATCCTCTGCACTACCACCTTGGCACAAGACCTCATCTCTTCCTCCTGGGACTTTGGCACGGGCTTCCAGCCTGCGTGGCCTCTGGTCTGTGTGGGCGGCCATCAGTGTAATCTCTGGTACAGGGCCTGCCCGGCTCTCTTTGACTCCTTTAACAGCTTCTGGATAGCTCAGGATGGAATCCAGTTCCAAGGTAGGATGTATCCTTCAGGGTACAGCTCCTCTTGCCTTTCCACCTCATTTCTTCCCAATGTCAGATTACCCGGCTCTGGAGTCTGCTTTCAACACACTGGCAGGTCTGAGTCTTCAGAAGGCTGTTCTTTCCTCCTTGGCGGTCCTCCTGTACTCCCCTCTCTTTCTACCCCATTCTCCTTCTACCCCATGTGCTGCCCACTGCAGATTACTACACGGCCTTCCTCCTGTTGACACTCACCTCTTCTGGAAGCTCCAGAGCCAGGGGGTCTCTCTGCTCCCACAGCCTGCTCCCACTCTCCATGGTGATGACCCTCACAACCCTGTAGTTTGCTCTAGTACCACCCTGGACACCAGACTGGGTACTGGGGTCACCACAACTCAGTTGGTGAGGTGAGCGGCCCTATGCTCCATGTCCAGGCAGAAGTCAAGCCTTGGGGACTGTGCTGTCCAGCGCCATCCCACGCAGCTTCCTTGAGCCGTTTCCATGCTGGCTGCTCCGGGGAGACTTTCGGTTCTGGGCCCCACAGTGACGACAGAATTCCTAACACCCACTGGCTTGTTCAGTCATCCTCCCTGCAGGCCCTGGGGTCAAGGCTAACTCCTGCTTTCAGGCCTCCTGGGCCCTCGCTGGTTTGGTCCTACTACATGTTAAGCAATGAAGTAACAGCATTTATCGACAGCTTACCACGTACCACAGACGCTCCTGAACAGCCTTGGCATGTACACTGGCGTGATGGGCCCGCACCCGCCCACCCCTCACCAAGCAGGGCCAGCAACCGTGTCCTTAACCGCCTCACAAACCCAGCAGGAGCATTATCGCCCCCATTCTCCACCACAGGAAATCAAAGCTCATAGGGGCTGAGCAATGGGCACAAGGGCACACTAGGAGAGCAGGGCACATCTGGGGGGCAGCCATCACATGGGCCCGCCTGGGGCACAGCATGACATCACCACACCCTTCCTTAGGGTATGATGTCACACACCCCGCCTCAGGATGTGATGTCACCACAACACACTCCTCTGACCCTGAGGTCATCACAGCCCCTCTTCTCGGAACAGGCAGTCAGAGCACCGTCTCCTCAGAGCCTGCTCTCTCCTCAGCACATGACGTCACTGCAGCCCCTCTCCTCAGAGCAGGGCGCCATGGCACCCCGTCTCCTTGGAGTGTGACGTCATCACACACCCACTGCTCAGAACGGGTTGTCAGAGCCCTGCGTCTCCTCAGACCCCGAGGCCTCCACACGCCTCAGGACGTGCTGCCATCATGCCCTGTCCTCCGCGTAGGCGCCCTCGCTCTCCCACATCCTGCCCACTGCCCTCCGCATCCTCCTCCCGGCCCACACCAGCCGGGGCCACTTCCGGGGTGGCCTCACTGCCGCGGCTCCTCCTGTGCCCGGGCCCCAGCGCGTGTCGACTTCCCAAGGCTGGCCTGCGCCTGCGGCCTCGCACCCGCCCCGGGAACCCCGCGTTTGCCCGCTGTCTCTTGGGCGGCGGCACGGGGCGGCCG